CACTTCCAACGAGATCCAACCAGATCCAGCTAAATGATTAGATCTTCTTGGATCTGATGTGAATAGATCTGCCGAATTTGTTGGAATCTGGTTGGTTGGATGGCGCTGGATCTGATCTACTGAAATTTTGGCTGGATGCTAGATCTGGATGGGTCTGGCTGGACCTGGCTGGATGGATCTATAGCCAAGATCTGTCTAGATCGAATCACCGGCTGGACCTCGCGAGATCTGGCTGGATCTGATCTCATTACATCTTGCTGGATCTGGCTGGACCTGGCTCGATTTGATCTCATTAAATCTGATTGGATCTGGCTGGATCTGGCTGAGATCTGGCGAGATCTGGCTGGATCTGTCTGATTGCAGCTGGATCAGCTGGCTGTATCTGGCGGAGATCTGGAGCTCGCTGGATTTGATTTGATTAAATCTGGCCGGATCTGGCTAGATCTGATCTGATAAAATCTTGCTGGGTCTGACTGGATCTGATTTGATTAAATCTGGCTGGATCTGGTTAAATCTGGTTTGAGATCCAAACAGATCAAAACAGATCGAGCCACCCACTTTCGCTGGCAGATCTAGTCAAGCAGCCAAACAGCGCAGGATGCAAGCCGAACAAAATTCCACACCGCCCCTGTCACACCACCGAGCCACTTTTTGCTGCCATGCTGGCTTCGGGGGAAATGGCTTTGTCAACAAAATCGGTGAGGATCTTTTTTTGTTCCTCGCCCATCTTCACAATCACAGTGAGGAACTTTTCCTCAATGGGCTGGATGCTTTTCGCGTCATCTTTCAAGAAAGCCTGACAAAACCCCAAAAGCAACACAGAAAACAAAGTCATGATGAACAAGTTAGTGGCGCCAAAGAGATGCTGGCGGCAGCCCTATCTAGAAAACAGCGCTCTGACAAGAAAACTGGAAGCAAGCAAGCAAACTAGCAGCCAGCTCCTTGAAAAAACTAGCACATCACGGAGCAAGCTGGCAGCCAGCTTTCTCAAAAGAGCTGGCACGCCACCGAGCAAGCTGGCAGCCAACTTTCGCAAAAAAGTTGCAAAAAACTGGCACGCCACCGAGCAAGCTGGCAGCCAGCTTTTGCAAAAAAGCTGGCACGCCGGCAAGCAAGCTGGCAGCCAGCTCTTTCAAAAAACTGGCACGCCACCGAGCAAGCTGGCAGCCAGCTCTTTCAAAAAACTGGCACGCCACTGAGCAGGCTGGCAGCCAGCTTTCGCATGGCAGCCAGCAAGCAAGCTGGCAACCAACTCTGTCAAAAAAAACGGCACGCAAAGGAACTTTATCAAAAAGCGGGCGCGCCATAAACTCATCAACGTGAGCTTCACAGGCATGGCCTGAATGGAAGGCAGCCACTTCACGCCCTGCTCCAAGTTCTCCGGCTTCTTGTAAGCCATGATCCGAGCAACAAGGACCTGCTTCCACCCGAGTGGGACAGGAAAATAGTCCTGTCAAGGTCAGATGATAGGCCACAGCAAAGCGGCGCAGAAAAACACAATAGAACGACCACAGCACATGAAGTGGCCAAAGCTTGGTGGTAGCCGGCCCGTCCTGCGCCTTGAGCAAATCTTCCGCTGCAGTAGCGCAGCAAGCAAGCTCAAGGCAGCCGGCCATCTTCTCCAAGTCAGGGTGCCCTCCATGTTTCTTCTTCAAGGAACTATACCTGGACCATGACTTGCCCTATACCCCCACATGTTTTCCCTGGCATGCATCATACGTGTATGATCGAACGTTGTGGAACCGCGTTCATAATATGAACATGCTTGCTTTGAGCGAAATGAATCCAGATCACCCCTGCCAGCCCCAACACCAATAAAGAAAATTGAGCAAGCCATGGTGCTGGCCCAAGACTCCAGCAATGTCTTTTTTGCTTGGTGGAATCTGCAACTCGTAGTGGACCCGAATCATCTTGAAAAGGTCTGTCAAGTGAGCAGGAAGATTTTCTGGCATGGGACAAACGTCAGGCTTCTTGGAGTCGGAAACAGGTCCGTTCGCCAGGGGCAAGGGTGCAGCTCTTGAACTGCAAGCCTGACTGGTTTCGGCAAGTTGACCTGGAATGCTCTCAGGGGCTTGGAGATCTAGCCCCAGCGCATCTGCCACCTGATCAACCCCAGCTCCTTCCACAGACCTTGACTGCACCACTTGCTTAGCTTCTTGCCAACTGACTCTGCAAATTGCCTTCAATGGCAACATAGGCTCTGTAGCTCTTCGGAAATGTCCTTCCCGCAGCACCCTTCAAACTTGTAAAGGCTGATAGCGACGTCTGGGCCAAAGAGAACCCGAGCACTGTCCACTTCCCAGAAGTCAAACTCCGGTCCCTTGGCTGTGAACCTTTGCGCTGTCACATGCTTTTGGTGATGAAAGTTGCAAGTAAGCTGGCACGCTACAAGATTAGCAGATGAACATGTTTTGGTACTTGGTTGGTTGATTGCAACACTGTTCGTAGTCCAACGAAAGATGGGGAAAGTGGCGGGAGCCAGCTTCCATGCGTGTAAGTTACCTGACCCAGCAACCAAGCGTACCCAATTCCCAGGAGCCAGCGTTCGAGCCACACGGCCCTACTTGCAAGGCAGCTGGGTCGTTGGGCCGCCGAGCCACCAGTTCCAGGCCCCCACACAACATAGTCAGCTGCCGTCCCAGCCCAATAGGATACACGCCGCGACGATGCTGGCATGGACAGCAATGGTGTAGTAGCAGTAGCAGCCAATGGTTAGCAAGCATGCTTGATTCCAGATGGCCAGACGAGTGGCAAAGGGATATGTTTTGGTAATCTTAATCTTTTTCCGTGTGGTTGATTGCAGGTCAGCTGGCAGGCCACAAAATTAGTAGATGGACATGTTTTGGTAGTTGGCCGGTTAGGTGCAACACTGTTCGTAGTCCAACGAAGGAGGGGAAAGTGGCGGGAGCCAGCTTCCATGCGTGTAAGTTACCTGACCCAGCAACCAAGCGTACCCAATTCCCAGGAGCCAGCGTTCGAGCCACACGGCCCTACTTGCAAGGCAGCTGGGTCGTTGGGCCACCAAGCCACCAGTTCCAGGCCCCCACACAGCAGTGGTCAGCTGCCATCCCAGCTGGACAGGATGTGCGTCGACAAATGGCACGGACAATGCAGAAGTTTGAGAAGCAACAGTAGCACTAGCAGCTCATAGCTAGCAGGCAAGCTTGGTTCCAGATGTTTCATGATTGCACGGTGCTCCTGAATCAGGAAAGCATGAATGACAGCAGCAACAGCAGGAGCAAGGGAGTCTTGACAGCATATTTTACTTGTGCCCAATACTCATGCATATGACCTGGTAGGTCTCCACAAAAAAAAAGAAAGCAGCGCCTCCCACCCAAAGCAGGTTGACACCTTTTCACTCACGCAATGCTGTTGGTTGAACATGGTACTCACGGGACTATCTATGGCATGCACCTTGTAAACTTCATGGTTCAAAATCTCTCTATGCTTGTTTTGAGGCGCTTTGTCCGATCTATTGAAAATGGGTTTTGGATTGGATCTATTTAGGGTTCATGTCAACTTGGTTTTCGATCTGTGACCAAAAAACATGTAGGTTGGGCGAAGGTTCCTCCTTCCTTCCTTGCTTGCTTCCTTCCTTCCATCCTTCCATCCTTCCTTTGTTCCTTCCTTCCTTCCTTCCTTCCTTCCGCCCTTCCTTCCTTTACTGAAACCCGGAAAAACAGAAAAAAAACAAAACAGAACGGGACAAATAAAAAAAAACGCGCTCCAATCATTCATCAGAAACATCACACCGGGAAAATTAAACGTTGGGGAACGCACTTGCAGTAACTGCATGTGATTATATCTCAAAAGTGATACCTGCGGTTGAAACCCAAAAAATATTGAAAGGATCACGATAAGACAGGACAGGACAAGAAAGGAACGAACATGAAAGGAAATTAATGGATTTATCACCAAGCAAGCTGGCAGCCAGCTTTCTCAAAAAAGCTAGCACACAAGCAAGCTGGCAGCCAGCTCTTTCAAAAAACTGGCACGCCACTAAGCAAGCTGGCAGCCAGCTTTCGCAAAAGAGCTGGCACGCCGCCGAGCAAGCTGGCAGCCAGCTCTTTTGAAAAGCTGGCACACAAGCAAGCAAGCTGGCAGCCAACTCTTTCAAAAGACTGGCTTGCCACCGAGCAAGCTGGCAGCCAGCTTTCGCAAAAAAGCTGGCACGCCACTGAGCAAGCTGGCAGCCAGCTCTTTCCAAAAAAGCTGGCACGCCGGCAAGCAAGCTGGCAGCCAACTCTTTCAAAAAACTGGCACGCCACTGAGCAAGCTGGCAGCCAGATTTCTCAAAAAAGCTGGCATGCCGGCAAGCAAGCTGGCATGCAGCTCTTTCAAAAGACTGGCGCGCCACACCGAGCTAGCTGGCGCAGAGCACATTTCCAAGTCAAAAGTGTTTAAAAGCCAAAGGGTTTGAAGCACTTTTTGACGTTAAGATGTCCTTTCCAGAAAGATAGATGGATACATAGATAGGCAGGCAGATAGATTAGACTAGATTATGTCAGATTAGATTGCATTAGATTGGATTGGATTAGATTAGATTAGATCAGATTTGATTTAGATTGGATCAGATAAGATTAGATCAGATTAGATTACGTAAGATTAGAATACGATTAGATGAAATTAGATTAGGTTAGCCAGATAGATAGGAAGATAGCTAGATAGATAGATAGATAGATAGCTCGATAAAATAAAAGATAGCTAGATAAATAGATAAATGGATTGTTAGATGGGTAGCTAGCTACATAGATAGATAGATAGATAGACAGATAGACAGATAGATACTTAGATTGTGAAATGTCTGTTGTGGTTTTCATGGCTGCAGCACATCTTGACCTGGAAAAATCAACAATTTGATACACCCAGATCTGGCTACAAGGCCGTACAGAAACCATATGGTAGAAAACCTGCAAGGCATGCGGCATACCCCATCTTCGTTTCAGACAAACTGACACCTACAGAAACCGCACTGCACTGTGACATTTCCAGCCACCAAGGACTGAGAAGGAAGTATCCACCAAACGTGAGCTGCCCTTTCTTGGAGGAGGTGGCCCACAACACAAATCCACAACAAAACATGATGATGTGGTGCAATTGACGGGGAAGCCAATTTGTTTGCGAATCACATCTCTATTTTGAGGATAGACAGATAGACATGACTATGGGGTTTGGACAATTTCTGTCCCATATCCTGCACTCAAAGGTCTTGAGGGACATGAAAGGAGGCACAGGATTTCTAATTCTACCTCGAGAAATGGCACTGTTCAAATGATAGGGACCCCCAACAAAAACTGCTGATTTATTTGTTGTAAAGATGACCTGCCAAAAGCCCGGCATTTCGTGGTTGGTCTTCCAAATCAAAGCTTCTGCTGATTTCGGATCTGTGAAGTGTGGATGGCAGATGCTGAATGATGCAGAAACAGTTTCAGCACAGCAGCTGCAGCCTGCAGCACTTTTTGTGTTACCACCATGGGCACAATGGCCACCAGGGTACGAGTTTGAACATCTGACACACAGCAGGAGCAACGGCATGGCTTCCAAAGAGTGAAGCCGATGTGGACATGACTCACCAACTCGAAAGGCAGCGGATGATTGCGGGGACCTTAGTTTTTTTCCACGTTTTTTTCCAGGCTTTTTTCTATTTTCTGGAATGGGTGAATGGGTGTTGGATGCCTGGATCGAACATAGAGACTCACACGTGGTGGTGATCTCTCAGCACCAGCATCGATGGGATGGATTTCTCTGACAACAGCTGGTTTGGGGTACTGCAGGTGATGAAACACGATGACACCATTTATAGATTTGATATGATTTGATTAGATTTGATAGCTATGGGATGCTTTGGGTGGTGCTCAGCCACGCCATGAGACAGGCGCGGAACAAGGCGCATGGCTCAAAGACCAGCCTCTCAGCCGCAGAGTTTAGCCACGTCATGGGATCCGTCGCCCGGAGCGGAGCTGAGGCATGGACAAGAATCCCCTGCTGGTCATGAGCGAGTCCAAATTGCACGAGCTCAAGCGGAAGCTCATTGGTGGCACTGGTGAAGGGGGTCCTTAAAGTGGCACTGCAATGGAGAACAGGGGCCATCAGAGGCCTTCGTGATTGCCGGGCAAACACATTCGCCCGCACGTGCCTAAAGAATCCTAAAGATTCGGCGCAAATCCGTGGTTGGTTGGTCTCCCTCGAGGCAAGCGCAAAAAAAGGGGCTGCAACAGCCAACTATTCCTTCTTCAAACTTTGTTCACTTTGTTCCGAGCTAGAGGCAGCCAAGCCCACAAGAGAATTGATGATGATTGATGAACCTTGTGCTCATGTGATCCCACGTTTACTTAGTTCCGTTTTTGTACTGTTTTCTTCTCCCCACCATTCCCCACCATTCCCCACCTAAGGTTCCTGCTACCTTTTGCCGCAGAACATAACGTGGAGGGAAGTATGGAGAAGGAGATTCGGCCATGGCTGTTGAGAGAGACCATTCCTTTGCAGGTGGGCGGGTCAGATTGAAAGAGAAGGGATCGATGATCGGATCGATTTACTGCCTTGTCGTTGTCGCTTGAAGTGCAGCTTCTGACTCATCATTCCTGGCCCATGATGCTTGAGCTATGTTCAAAACCCTTGTTGTTTGATGACAATGGGGTTGCACTACCCAATATATATATATATATATTCAGAATTATCTATGATGGGAATCCCCATCAACCAGTATAACCAGTTGAAGCAACATCCGTTGGACCCTGTGAGGTGACAGAGAACCTACGACAGGTGCGAACTGATGGTGTTTCACACGCCGTTTCCTTGGGGTTTTAATTTGAAGTAACATCCAAAGTGATACAGTAGCAGTATTGTTGTAATACTGATGGATATTGATGGATATGCTGCAGCACTCTCGTTGGATGGCAAGATATGGAGCTTTGCATGGAATTCCTCTTAATGTTTTCCTCTTAATAGTTGTCCATCCTCATCACCCTGCTTGAATGGATCCCACACGAGTCCTCCATTGTAACATCACATACCTGATCAAATCTTTTACCCTAAATATGGATGATAATCCAGCATCTAATCATATTCAATCAGCGATGCATCAATTTTCAGCTATCTTCAGCTTCGTCAGAAAGATGACGGTGGGTGAATGCGGATGGTTGCATTTTCCATAGTTTTTGGATTTATCACATCATATGATATGTTTCGATCATTTATGATTGGTATATCTATATCGATATTATATTATATCATATACTACTTATATTTATATCAAATATATATATATAATTAGATTATATATATAATTAGATTATATATATAATTCGATTATATATAATTATATTATATATAATTAGATTATATATTATATATAATTAGATTATAGGTTATATACAATTAGATTATATATACTTATATTGTATATATATATATATTGTCAAAGGGAACCAGGCGCTAGGTGCATGTACCATATGCACATACCAATATACATTCAAACGCCCTTTGTGGCTCAAGCGCCCCTTGAAGGAAAACAAATCGTGCTGTCGCTGCCGCGCCATAACGGGACTCGGTTGACCAGCAAAGCAGGTATCGAAACTACATTTGGCAACACCTAGAACAAGGGTAAAATTGTTCACAGGTTATCAGCCGTAGGGCTCACTTCTCCCGTCGGGAGAGTGGTACCTGCGTGCTGGTAGCCGGGCCGTCTGAGCAATTGATTGAGGACGCAAAGGACCAATCAGCTCATCATCGCAAAGATGCAAGGCGGTAGCGGAGATTCACGCACCACGCAGTTTACCTTCAACGAGAACACTGCCATGCCGGTCGAGGAGGTCAATCAGTCTTCCCCTGGTGATACGGCAGACAGTGGTGAGATACGCTCTACCCGAACTACACAGTCCGGATGGCAAGTAACGACAAACAGACGAAGGATATCCACCCAAAGTACACCAAGATCTTCTCGAAACAGTCCTCGGAGTGATGTTGTCCGCCAAGGGCATCGACCATCTCGAGGACGAACTACTCCTAGGGACAGATCCACCAGGGCCGTGACCGACCGAGTTGGTGAGAGGACCGGGGATAGTCGTGTTAAGAGGAGATCAACGGATACTTCTGTGGCTAGTGAACCTATTGCCATGATAGAAGAACTACGGGCACAATGTCAATCCCTACGTAGTCAGTTGAACCAAATGGAAGCATACGCCGCATCTAGAGATCAACTGATTCATGACATCGAGATTAGATTCACCGAATATCTTCAGGAACACAACCAGAATGTGTTTGAGGAAGTCAGTGCACTCAATCATAGATTGTCACGTTCCGCGAATGAGGTTGCAGAATATCAAGCAGAGTTAATGGTAGCATCTCAGGAAGATGAAGGTGCAACAATACGCATCCAAGACCTTGAGCGCCGAGGTGCCCTAATGGAACATGGTGCACGACGGATCCATCAACGTGGTATGGAGATCCAGGAGGAATACAAGGGTGAAGTACATCACCTTCAAGGACTATTGGGTAATACGGAGGCAAGACTTCAACAACTTCATCAAACTAATGTCTTAACCACCGATATTGCCAATCGACTATACAATGAAGGTCAGGAAATGCAAACAGATTTCCAGAACTCAATCATGGAATATCGTAATCGATCCGAAATGGCGTCCTTCTCTAGCAATCAACTTGAAGTGATTAGCCAACAACAGTCGATTGCAGTTCATGAACTATCTGAACGGAATCAACTATTGAGTGAAGCGTTGGTTCAGTCTCGTAAACAAGCCGAGCTGTATGAAAGCAGTATTGACGAGATCACTAGAGAATCTAGGAAGAAGGTTTTCGAGGCAAATCAGGCCAAATTAGAAAGTGATCTGAAGCATCGAAACACCGAACATGATACCGTCAAAAGAATTGCATCATACAGGAACCAAGAGGCCGAAGCGATATCACACCTGAGGCTTGAATCACAGGCCAGCTTGAATTCGATCGCGAGGGCCGAGCATTATGAAGAGCTCTACACCAATGAGCAGGAGATGAACTGCGAGTTAAAGGATGAGATCAAGTTGCAGAACACGAAGTTGCGGAGATCGTTGACTCAGGGTACTACGACCGACGGTCGTGGCCCCGATGAGATGCTTGTTGAAGATCTACGTAATCAAGCCAAAATTGCTCAAATTAGGGTTCAGGATCTAGATCATGAAGTTCATGAATGTTTACAAGAAAACATGTTATTGAAAGAAAGATTGGCTGAAGTTGCGGATGTAGGGGCTTCGTCCCTCACCAATGCTGAGGTCCGAACTCTAAGATCTGAACTAGAGAGTGAGCGAAAATTGAAATTGGCTAGTGGTGTTCAACAATATGAGAGATCATGCATGTTCATGGGGGAAATCCAGGATAGGGATGAAAAGATTGGCATCAAGAATTCTGAGATTGTTGACATGAAACGTCACTTAGATGAACTGAGAAAAAGTCTCAAGGATTCTGAAACATCTATGGCTAGGATCAGTCCTGACACACTTCCCTATTCGGCAGGCATTCCCAACTCCGATCTCGCATCCAGACTGGTCATCGACAAACTGGAGAATGACGTGAGTGAGGCTAACTGTGAAAACGCTATTCTGAAATCTTGGGTTTCGCAGATCGACAAGGAGTTGACTTATGAGACAAATGTGGCTCATTCCTATCGTGGGCATGCTGTACCTCCTCAACAACAACAGCATTCTCAATCAAGCAAAAGAATCGCTGATCTGCTGAAAGAGGTTGACAACAAGATCGCTGGCGGAACTGAGAGGGACTATTACAAGCCACCGAGTGGATGGGGCGGTCCACCTGACCCTGATGGACCTCCGGACCCTTTCGGGCCTAACGGCCCAGGACCACCTCCTGAACCTCCAGGTTTACCTTCAGTTCGAGGATCACAACGCGATTCAGCAGATGACGTCTCCACAGCGGCTTACACTGCGGAAGAAGTACCGAGAATGTCGAGACGAGAAGCTGACAAAGTCTATGTTAGCCCATGGCCAAAGCAACAGAATCTTGGGGTTTGGCAATCAGATCTCATAAAGAGTGTTGTTCTTTCGGCAAATGACGGGGATAAAGCCGCATGGGAAGCATGGCTACAGCCGGCTATTCGACCAAATCCTGACATCGAACTATTGAATGACAGTGGGGGGCAACGGTATCAGTCCATCGACGCCAAGTTGTCAATTGCATTGTCAAACGTGATAGCCCAAGCCGGTGATGTTGCTCGTCATGTAGCGATCAAATTGAGATTGAGAACACAAAGTCATAGCCGAAGAGGAACCTATGTCATGGGACGGGAAATCTTGGCTATGATTCTGGAGCACTTCAGAACCCCAGGTCAACGAGAAACATCCTTCACCATGGAACACATCGTATCGATGAAGTATCTCGGTGACTCGAACCTAGAAGTGTTCTACGAGAAATGGATGGAGATGGTATCAAACATGATGCCGGATGACGTACCTCCTGATGATTGGCTTCGTGATGCTCTATACAAGAAGATTCGAAATTCGAGTCTTATGATGTTCGACATCAAGCAGTACGAGTCATGGATGGAAGGAGACCAAAGACGAAATTATCGCTACCTGTTGGACGTCATCGAAAGGCACATCTCCAGAATCAGAGAGGACAAGCATGTGGCCGCCAGAGAGAAGTATGCGAGAGACTTTGCAGGTGGCGGCAAACCTTCAGCTCCTGCTCCGAACCCAACTGCCGCTGCACCGGATGCAAATCCAAAAGCGAAGCCTAAAGCTACTCCCAAGGAGAAGGCAGCGCCCAAGGCGAAGGCCAAGGCCGATGCAGCTCCAGTTCTACCATCACCTCAGCCTAAACAGCATGCAAAAGGAAAAGGGAAAGGTCAAGGGAAAGGGAAGGATCGAGCAAACAGCCGAAGTACAAGCCCCAGATCCAAGAAGAAGATCCCATGCCATTTCCATTTCATCAAGAAATCATGCAGAAAAGGCAAAGATTGTGAATACAGTCATGATCAAAAGGTGTTCGAGGCGAATAAGAACGCAAAAGGGAATGGTCGGAAGCCAGGAACTCCAAGAAGTCAATCTCCGGCAAACAAGACCAAGAAGATTGATGAACCATGCTGGCATTGGGCTAAGGGCAAGTGTCGGTATGGAGACAAATGCAACAAACGCCACGATCCTCATCTATTTAACACTGCTCCCAACACCGAAGCACCAAGCTCAAAGGCTACTCCTGCACCTGTCCATGATTGGAGCGATGATGAAGAGACGTTCCATAAGATTGCATCGAACGTGGTCAAGAAGAAGGTCAGATTTGATGAGTCTAAGACTCACGTTCAAACTTACGTAAAGAAGGACTTCGTGAAGTGCAATCGGAAATCTCAGACTGTCTCCAAAGGGCATGGTAAAGTTGGAAAGCCCACTGATCAGATAAGGAAAGATGAGCAATGGTCTTATTCATGCAGGTTAGCTTCGAGCCGAGGGAAAGCAATGGCTATTCTGATCGATGAGAAGGGTGAACACAGTGACATTGATGAAGTCCTGGTCATAGTCGGCCCGAGCATGGACATCCTGATCAGACTCGACGTCGAGGACGGTGGGGTGTCCAGGGAAGTTTTTGTGGAAAACTATGTTCAGCATATTGAAGGTCGATATGGTAAAAGGGGCAACACAATGTGTATCACTGTTCCTGTTGAAGAGAGAGATAAGAGATTCATATTGGATTCTGGAAGTGGCCATGATCTCATTTCATCCACACGAAGAAGTAGAATGGATCTCCCAACATACGATGAC